AGATCACCTATCATCTATAGCTCCAACCTAATCAGCATCAGTATTTGCATCTATGTTTTGATAACTAGCATTCTTAGTGAACAAAATTCCTTTTCCAGGAGCAGATTTCAGATACCTCAAAATGTGCATAACTGCATTCATATGTATCATGCATAAATTGGCTAACAATGCTCAACGCATAAGCCAGATCCGGTCTCGTGTGTGCTAAGTACATCAATCTCCCTACAAGTCTTTGGTATCTTCCTTTATTAGCAAGTACTTGGTTGGACTCAACACATAACTTCAGTCCTTCTTCCACTGGTGTCTCAACTGGTTGACATGCTGTCATGCCAGTCTCTTGTAACAGATCTAAGGCATACTTTCTTTGAGATATAAATATTCCTTTATTTGATCGAGACACTTCGATCCCAAGGAAATATCTCAAATGACCTAGATCTTTCATTTCGAATTCTCTGGACAAGTACTTCTTGAGAGCTTTTATTTCTTTAGGATCATTCCCTGTAACCACCATGTCATCTACATATACAATGAGTGCAGTAATCTTACCCTGTTGTTTCTTCAGGAATAATATAATGAGTGCAGTAATCTTACCCTGTTGTTTCTTCAGGAATAATGTGTGGTTTGAATTGCTTTGATGGTAGCCAAAGGCTATCATTGACTTTGTGAATCTTCCAAACTATGTTCTCGGAGATTGTTTCAACCCATATAATGATTTCTTTAACCTGCAGACCTTTTGAGTATACTTTTCGGGTATCATGCATCCTGGTGGAAGATCCGTGTAGACTTCTTCAAATAATTCACCATGCAGAAAGGCATTCTTCACATCGAATTGTTGCAATGGCCAATCCAAGTTCGTAGCTAAAGACAATAAGACCCAAACTGTGTTGATTTTGACTACAGGTGCGAACGTTTCTGTGTGATCGATAACCTTTTGCCACCCTCAGCAGCGATTGGTTTGATATATCAGTTGCGAGGGACTCGAACTCGGACAACAATGGGGTTGGCGCTATACTTTCCATTTCTGGGCATTCATCACCACTTTGATCCAAACTTATACCACTTGAATCCAATTCGCCTGATTCCTGATTGGTTGGTCCACCTTGTGAGTCATTAACACTAGAATCACCATACTAAAAAATGTGATAATCATAATCTAAAGTCTGAATTTTGTTCTGGTACTCCCCCTGAAGTTCAAACGCAGAGGAAAAATACATCGAGTCTTCATGGAAGACATCATCCATTGTGATAAACATTCGTCGAGTGGGAGGGTAATAACAGCGATACCTCTTTTGATGAGTAGCATATCCGAGAAAAACACATCGCAATGCGTGAGGGGTTAGCTTGTTGCGTTGATACTTATAGAGGTGTACAAATGCTACACAACCAAAGACATGAGGAGGTAGATTTGCGACGGCTGGGGCAACAACTGCATCAGTGAGAGCCTGCAATGGTGTCTAGAAGGCAATAGAGCTGGAAGGTACTCGATTAATGAAATATGCTGTAGAGGTAAGTACTTCTCCCCAATACGATAATGGCATATGCGCTTAAATCAATGAAGCACGAACAGCCTCTAACACGTGTCGATTTTTTCGCTCTGTAACCCCGTTCTGCTGGGATGTATTAGAACAAGTGGTTTAATGAATAGTTCCATGTGCTTCCAAATACTCCTGAAGGTCAAAACTCTTATATTCTCCACCATTGTCACTACGGAGAACTTGAACATGTGCATTGTATTGCGTTGCAACCATTTTATGAAACTTCTGAAATAATAAGTTAACTTCACCTTTGGACTTCATTAAGCACAACCAGGTCATCTTGGTACAGTCATCAATAAAAGTAACAAACCAACGGAATCCACCTAAAGTAGTGACTTTGGACGGACCCCAAACATCATAATGCATAATCATAAAAAGAAGTGAACTTTTATGCAAACATAATGGATACGAAACATGATGGCTCTTTATTAGTTCACAAACATTACAGCGGAAACTAGAAACAACATATTTTTTAAACAAATTAGGAAATAATTTTTTCAGATAACCAAAGGAAGCATGCTCCAGACGTCGATGCCACAGTCAGATTTCAGATTTTTTTCTCTCCCTCTCAGAACCATCCACTGTCAATGTTTGTCGTAGCTGGTCAGAACTTTTGGACATCAAGTCCAAGTAATACAGTTTTCCTCGCCTAATACCACAACCAATCGTCTGCTTTATTTGGATGTCCTTAAACACACAAAAATCAGGCCAAAAAATGACAACACAAGATAAAGCTGTGGTTATTTGGGAAACTGACAAAAGATTATAATTTAAAGATGGAGTAACTAAAACATAATCTAAATATAGATTATCAGTGAGTGTCAAATATCCTTCCCCAATAACTGGGGTCGAAGTCCCATTAGTAATAGAAACAACTTGTGTAAAAATAAGATGTGAGACCTGTCTAGAATCAAATGTCATATGATCTGTAGCACCAGAATCAATTATCCATGCATTATTAGCAACATGTGTAAAAATATTTAAATTCTTACCACCAGTATCTGTTATCTTAACAACAGCTGCAGTGGAGGTCTTTATTGAATTCCTCTTCCAATGACGATGATCTTACCATTTCGGATATCCCACAAGTTTGACTTTTGGTATGACCAGTCTGGTTGCAATGAGTGCATTTGTAGGTAGACTTGTCTGCTCTAGATGATTCAATATTTTTTTCACTCATTGTGTTGTTTTTTTTATTTTTTTTATTTTTTATTTTTTTTTAATATATATATATATATAATATTCAAGGCACTATATATATATATATATATATATAGATATATATTTTGTTTAAATATATATATTTAAAATGGAGAAGGATAGAAGGGAAACCCAGATTCAGAATTTGTCAGAGGCGAGCATGAAAAACTCCATCACTTGGTGGAAGTTGAAAGTGGCCCTGACCACCATAGTCGTCACACTTGAAGTAACAAACAACAGCCTCGATACACCATAGGAGCACCATAGGAGACTGGACCGAGCGGAAGAAGGTCTGGGATGTCCGCGACGGCAGATTTAGATCCGGCGACGACAGATCTTCGGCAAGCAGTGGTTCGGCGGTTCTGGGATACCGGCGGTTCGTCGTCGTCGTCGTTTGGAGAGCAGTGACGACGATGGATACCATCGGCTGGGCGGTTCGGAAATGGCTGCGAGAACAGCGTCGTCTATTGGACAGCAACCGGCGGGCAAGGAATGGTATGGTTCAGTGATTGGTTCACTGTATAGTCTGTGGGTCTGTGATTAGGTCACTGTATGGTTTATAGGTCTGTGTCTCTGTGGTTGGTTCAGTGTACTGTGTATGTTGTATTAACAAAATAAACAAAATAAAAATAAATTTAAAAAATACAAAGCTACGGTTCAACATGGCTCTGATACCATATTAAAATTTAAAGAATAAATATGAAAATAAAAACTCAATTCAATATTATTCACGATAATGTTACATACAATTTATAAAGTAATATTTAGTTACTTATCGTAACTAAATATACAATAGTCAAAAACTAATTACTTATTAATTAAAAAAAATAATTCAATCCTCCAATAGGTAAAATCACAACAGCATTGTCTCAACATTACCTGGTTGAGTGGTATTGCCATTGAACCAACTCCACTCAAATTAGTACTGGTGTCATTGAACCAACTCCACTCAAATTACCAACATGTGAAGGTTACCTTCCCCCAATTATTATTATTATTATTATTATTATTATTATTATTTTTTTAAGGTTTGCACCAGTCAACTTTGCCACATGTTGCATATAGTAGTACTCCATTGCATGACTAATATGCCCCTTAGCTCCAATTTCAATTTTAAAATATCATTCCATGCAGCTGAACAGTATAATGTGGTGCAAATTTGTACTATGAAAGAAAAAGATACCAGAACTAAAGGACTTTATTTAAAGTTAAACTTTGAAAATGGAATTCAATAACATTGGAATTCCAAAATTTATTCAAACACTGAATTTGAATTTGAATTTAAATTTCTAAAATTATAATTCCAATATAATTTCAATTCCACTCAATCAGACGCACACTTAAAAGGTAGCACTCACTACCCCAACCACATGCCAGGCTATACGAGCAACATGGGCCAAGCTACATACATGGCAAAACCAAGCCAAAGGGGATCTAACAATAAAGAGCAAACCTACAATGAGGGTGAGCTTACATGGTTACAGTAGAATATACCTTTGCCTCTTTCTATCTCAATCATTTTTGAAAAGGAGATTTTATTTTATTTTTTTAACCCATTTTTGAAAAGAAGTTGATAAGCCTAGGGGTTAAGAAGCCATTACTTTAGTATCGATCTTCTAAAAAGAGTTGACATGCCTACTGACTATAAAATCGTCACTTCAGAATTCACTTAACTTTATTCTAAATAAACGTATTCTCATTTATTTGATTTACTAAATAATATCATTATTAAAGACATGACATCACATATGGCCTCATTGCATTTTTCACCAATAAATCATCCAAAAATCAAAAAAATAAAATAATAATAATACTTATTATTATCACACTATCACAAAAATATAGCATGTACGCATACGGACTCACAAGTCAATAGACTCATACATATATAACCTTACCACAGCGTCAACCAAAAAGGGATCATTTTTTAATAAATGACAGACACTCAAATAAACACTGCTGTAGATAAATACAGAAAAAGGCCAAGCTGTCTCGCCAACGAAGGTGAGCCACGTGATATGTTCAGTTCTCCTTAGCCAAAGATACGTAGGAGTTTTTAACTAAAAAAAAAAAAAAATGCGTAGGAGTGATAATTACAGAAGATGCGTTGTCTGCATGCTATTGGGTCCCAATCACGTCACTGTACGATGATGTTGTTTTGTTCACTTCACGAGGTACTGCTAAATAGTTTTTAATACTTTTACTTTCTCCATTGAACCTACTTTTTTTTTTTGTAATTGAGCTTTTGGTATATTAACCCAAAAAATAGCACTATTTTAATACTATTTATTAATAGTACTTTCTTTATCTTCACTCTTTCTAATTTCCTAAGTTTTACCAAAATAAGGCATATCAAGGTGTGAAATCCCTTTTTTTTTTTTTTTTTTTTTTTTCTTCTCTTTTCTTTTTGACCCTTTTCTTCAACTTTCTGTAGATGTTTGCCTTTTTCTTTGTGGAGGTAGAACTTGACAGAGAAAGAGAAAGAGAAAGAGGAAGAGAATAAGAGAATTTTATGAGCAGGAAATGTTGAGTTTTGCGGTGTGGAAATAAAGAGATTGAAACATCAAAAGTCTTATCTTGTATCTTTGTTCCTTATTCAATTCTGGGTATTGGGTTGTCATTATACTCATGCTTTTGTGAAAATATTACTGTTCTCTGCCCTAGATCTTTATGGCTTTTGTTGCTATTTTGATACCATCCTGCAGTGTTTTTGGTTTATAAATTTTCTTGGGTTTTATTCCAAATCTTCAATCCCTTTCTTTGCTAAGCTCACTTTCAACTTTTCCTGATTTTCTTACTATTTTTGGTGAGTTTTAATTTTAATTATGTTCTTCATATTTTTGGTGGTATTTGTTTAGGGTTATACATTGAACTGATACAACATTGCTAAGTTAAATTTCAAAAAAAAGATATAACATTGCCAAGTTTTGAACACTTACACACACATGTAGGAGATGGTGAGAGGTAAAGTTCAGCTGAAGCGAATTGAGAATGCAAGCAGCAGGCAAGTGACGTTCTCGAAGCGTCGAAATGGGCTGCTGAAGAAGGCCTATGAGCTATCTGTGCTTTGTGATGCTGAAATTGGTTTGATCATCTTCTCCCAGAAAGGAAAGCTCTACGAGTATTGCAGCTCCAAGTATGTTTATCATATTTTTATTACCCAATTAATTTCTGAAATATACCCCTCCTGTACATGTTCCATTCAGTTTCCAATGTGTGCATTGATTTTTCTGTGCTTTCTCCGTACTCTAATTTTATTTAATTAGTCATTAAGCAACAAGGTATGGTTTAGTGGACTTCCAAAGACCTCAAGTACCATGATCACGTACTGTGTGTTAATTAAATTAATTAGTTCTCAGAAGTACTTCTATCTCTCTCTAGATCTCTCTCTAGCTCTCTCCACTTCCTGGGCGGAATAAAATCCCACCAAATTATTTGATGTACAAATCTTTATGCTATTCATTGATTCTACGGACAAGTAAATACTTTGCTTCTCTAGAGTCTTTGTTTTATAATGATTTCAAATGTACTTGTTTATGTTTATCCTTTTATTGTATGGTATTCCCTTGGCTCTTTTGGCTTGTGGTTTGGAATTTTGACCATCTGGAAGTGGAGTTATTCCATACACTTTGTATTGGAAGGGTATGCCCTTCCTTATTTAATTAGGGGAAAAAAAAAAAAAAAAAAGAAGAAAAGAAAAGAAAAGAAAGAAACTCTTATCAAACCCTAGTCCTCAGCCTTTTTAGGTTTTGTTTCCCTTCTTTTTTTTTCTTTTTTTTTTTATGAAAACTTGATGCAATTTATGAATATATATATGTATATATATGTATATATATATATTTTTTTTCCCCTATGAGTCATGTTTGTTTTAATTTCCATTGACACCTTAGCTCCTGGAGCAACTTCAATTCATTCGAGCTAATTACTTCTCTCCAATTAAGCTCTTTCATTTCTGATCAACATGCATTAATGTTTTTAGGGTTTCATGAAACCTAGGCTAGCCATTGGTCCATCCATTTAATATTCAAAATGAGAGTTTTTCCTTGTTTCTTTGTTATACCATAATCTCTTTTCATAAAATATGCAACTTCAAATTATCCAAATCATGATCCAATCCTTGCATTTAGGCTAACGATGAACTTTATATTTCTTATTATACAAAAGGAAGACAGATATGGCCATAGAATAGAGTTGAATGACAAAGAGAGATTCATGTAAATGACCCAATGGTATATGTTTTTGAAAATTTATTATTAAGGATTGAAATTCTTGAATCAAAATGATGTATTCAAAACTTTCCGGCAAAAAAAAAAAAAAACGATGTATTCAAAGCAGCCAGTGCATACCACCTTAGCACCATAGCAGCCATGGTCATAGAATAGAGTTAAATGACAGAAAGATTCATGTAAATGACCAAATGGTATATGTTTCTGCAAATGTTTAATTAAGGGTTGAAATTCTCGGATCAAAATGATTTATTCAAAGCAGCCAGTGCATATATTACAGTTTAATCACTAACACAGATTCATAAACACCACCTTAGCACCATCATCATCTTCTTCTTCTTTGCCTTTTTCTTGTATGAATAGGGTCGGACACATGATCAATTCTCTTATTCCATTCTTTCTTATTATAAGCCATGTCTCTTACAATATTTAATTTTTTACAATCATTTTAATTACTTCATTTCATGTAAGTTTTGGCTGCCCTTTTTATCATTTACCTTCTAGGCAAACAATCCTTCCTCTCCTAAATGGTGGATCTTCCGCTCTACCCTTCCATCACTCGTTATCCTATCTTTTTTAATTACTTCCTAGCATTTTCATTTCTGTTACATGAATGTCCCCACCCTCCAAAAACTTCTATCATCCATGGTAACATTTTCTTTTTTGTTACAATAATTACATAAATGTCCCTACCCTCCTCTCTTCTCCCTCCAACTTCTCTTTTTGTGATTGATGGGCTTAATCACCTAATAGACATCATTTTTATGGCCTTATTTTCGTCTATGATGATCACATTTAAATATTCTATGCTGAGTACTGATTAACCATAGCAAAATACATGCCCGGTCATTAACCATTCCGAATGCAATTACTGGGCAAGCTCCAGTCGTCAACCAATCTTCTACTGTCAGAAGAGTGGACACTAATCTATAATTCTAATCCAAAAACTTAAAATGTTGGGTAGTGTTTTATAACTCAAAAACAGGCAGTGTTTTATAACTCGCAATATTGATATAACCTAACCCCCAAAATAACTTGTTGGGGTCGAACCACCATGCCTGTCTTAGCACCTCTGTGGGTTCATCTAGGTGGACATTTGCATGATACCAGATTAAGGACTGAGTCTACTTTTGATACCAACTGTAAGCGGTCAAGTGTTGTTTACCTCTAACCCAAAAATGCATACCCCCAAAGTATACCCAATCCCTTTCCCATTTGAATCAGATGTGGAACAAGACTCCTCTAACACTAAGGAGATAAATAAATCTTAGGTTCAATTTTAACTAACAATAACTAGATTTTAAACTCCAATAATTATACTTCAAAAGTTTGCTATATGAATAAATTAAATATAGAGAGCAAAAAAAATAAACAAGCCGTGCAACCACGCAAAAGTTTGTTAGAGTCAGACCACCCTGCCTATCTTAGCACCTCTCCTGTAGGAGTGAAAAACAAGATTTCGGGGACCTGAATTTGGCCGAAAACCAGTTTTAGCCAGTAGTTAAGCTAGTGAGTTTTGTTTATTAGATCGTTTCTAATAAAAAATGGGTCTCCTCAAGTCAAAACAGTCTGGTCGAAAATTATGTCTTACATCAATCTCACCTGCATGAAAAAAAAACTCGTCAGTGAGTTTGGCTACGGATAAATTGACCTATCATATATGAATATGAACAAAATTTTATACCATTAATGACTTGATGTTGATTTTTCATAAGCTTGCTTCAATTTTTTCGGAGATGTATCTTTCCTTGCCATCTAATCAATCTGTAATGCTTTGAACTTTGAATTATCCACATCACCAGATTCCTTGATAGGTGCTTTATTAATATATAGGAACTAAGGTTAGGCTTGTAATCAAACTCAATTGGAACAGTATTAATAACGTTGTAAAATACCAACTTTGTTTCACCATGCGCCAATTTGAGAATGCTTTTCCTCCCTGTTAGCTGGGTGACGCCACTTGAATCCTTGATTTCTAGGACTTCATGTTTCATATCCAATGTTTTCGGAAATTTCTAACCTGAAAGAATTCTAATTCACATAAATTATCACATATCTTTGAACCGGGCGCAAATCCTCTGCTGTACAATTTCCATGCTGTCTCTTGTCATGAACGTTAAGTGGTCTTGGTTTGGCCACGTTTTACTCCATTTAATATACACTAAGACTGTGTTTGACAATTATATAACCATTTATTAATAACATTTCACCATCATTTATAAGTATCTTCACCTTCAAAATAAGGTATGCACATAATGCAGACTAAGTAATGTCACATACAAATGTAACTCAATTCACCGTTATTTATAAGTAACATTTTCCCACCATTTATAAGTATCTTCACCTTCAAAATAAGGTATGCACATAATGTAGACTAAGTAATGTCACATACGAACGTAACTCAATTTAACATATCATTTATGTTATAATTTGAAATTAAAGTATTTTAAAAACAGTTTAAATGTAAATTTAAAGAATTTAAATCAAAATTAAAATCCCTTAGATTAACTTTAGACAACAAACAAAGCACTCGTTGTTTCCAAAAATAACGAAAAGAGCCACATCTTTTTTTTTTTTCAAAATATTAAAAAAACATGCACTTAGTTTTAAATTATTTAACATATCTTTGAAATTTTTTTGGCAAAGTTTAATATTAATTGTCACACTCACCACCTTCACCATCAAAAGAAAAATTTGGCAAAGTTTAATATTAATTGTTACACTCACCACCTTCACCATAAAAAAAAAGTATTCACATAGTGCTGAAAAATTAATAGTCACACATAAATCTAACTCAATTCAACATATTATTTATATATTTTTTAAGTTAAATTTTATCATAAAAATAGAATATCCAAAAAAATAGTCACATGTTAATTTAAAGAGGATTTTGAAGGGGATCATGAGGTATTTGACTGTCAATAATCTTTATTTTTTAAGTGGTGATGTTACCCTCTTAAAAATGGTGATGTTACTTTTTAGACTCATGTGATATTACGTTTTAGACTTCTGTGATGTTACTTATAAATGGTGGTGAAATGTTACTTATAAATAGTGGTGTAATTGCCAAACACAGTTTTAGTGTCTATTAAGTGGAGTAAAACGTAGCCAAACCAAGATCACTTAACGCTCACAGCAGGAGACAGCATAGAAATCGCACAGCAGAGGATTTGCGCCCCTCTTTGAACCCATTTTAGATTTTGACTCCAAGTTATTATTCTTGTTTTAATCATGAACTCCTTCAGCATCTCTTTTGTTCTTTGACAATGTATCCAATTTTTGATTTGATAGATTTTTAGATTTGTTTGTTTCCTTAAAAGCCTCTTTAAATACCTTTTGCACTTCCTTCTTGTCACCATCATCTTCTTTTGTTGTATTAAAAGTCTTACCACTATCCATTGCAACAATTGAAGGAGTCATTTTCTATCTTTATTCTTTTTATCTCTTCTGTCTTGGGGTTCTAGTTCTTGGACACATTCTAATTTTTGGACACATATAACTTTTTCTATACTTTCTTCTTCTTGTTTAAATTTGCCCATTTTAAGATGAAACTGAGTTTTTAAAGATAATGATAACTCAATATAATTGCAATCCCGGTACTCTTGAAACTAGATTTCCTCATGGTGTAGTGGAAGAAATATAGTATAGTTGAAGAAATATGGCATTTAAAAGACGTTTGATCTTCAACAAAGATTGTATCGATGTCTTTTAAATAGTGCACAAGAAACTCATATCTATTCCCGCTATGCAGAAGTTACTCATTTTAGTTTATATGCAACTAGTTTTACTGTAAAAACTCATTCCACCACATGGTATGATATTTGTCCGCTTTGGGCCCAAACTCGCATGGTTTTGCTATTGGGTTTTACCTCAAAAGATCTTGTACCAATTGGAGTGACACATCTACATA